TCCCTCAGCTCTTCAGCTCAAAGCTAACGCTCTACCACTTGAGCCACAGCGCCACTTCCGGCTTTTTTCTTTTTGCTTATGTGGTGCTGACGAATCGAACCCAGGGCCTCATGCATGCAAGGCAAACGCTCTACCACTGAGCCACCTTCCCAGCCCCACAAATTTTATATATAGACCATGATAATGACAATTTGCTTTGTGAAGGTTAAAATGTGTTTGTGACTTTACCTATCACTATGTCACAATACTGTGAAATTTATGTAATCACTTAATCTCAATAAAAAAATTATTAAAAAAAAAACAGGATGGGACAAGGACCTAATATCCAGAATATACAAGAAACTCAAGAAACTAAACCCTCCAAAAATCAATGACCCAATGAATAAAAGGGCAAAGAAGCTAAACAGAGACTTCTCAGAAGTAAGAATGCCCAATAAACACAGGAACAAATGCTCAACATCCCTAGGCTATAAAGGAAATGTGAATTAAAATAGCACTGAGATTCCATCTCACCCCAGTAAGATTGGTCATCATCAAGAATATAAACAGGAAAACAAAAAAAGAATATAAACAGGGCCGGGAAGGTGGCTCAGTGTTAGAGTGCTTGTTTTGCATGTATCAGGCCCTGGGTTCCATTCCTTAGCACTACAAACGCAGAAAAAGCCGGAAGTAGTATTGTGGTTTAAGTGGTAGAGCATTGGCCTGGAGCTGAAGAGCTGAAGGACAGTGCCCAGGCCCCAAGACTGACCAAAAAAATATAGATATAGATATAAATATAAATATATAAACAATAACAAATGTTGGCACAGATGGCAGGATGGAGAAAAGGAACCTTATTATTCTGTTGGTGGGAATGTAAACTAGCACAACCTCTTTGCAAGGCAAGTTTAGAGATTCCTTAAAAAACAACATAAAAATGAACTATGCAACTTGTGGGCAGGGATGGGTAGGGAGAAATAAAGGGAAACAAAAAGGAAGAGATGACATTGTCTAAGAAGAATTGTACCAATTACCTGAGACTTACGGAACTGTAACCTCTTTGTATAACTCCTAATAATAACAGTAAAACAGAGGAAAGATGAATAAATGCAGTCATGGTACTCAGTAGATACTAGGTGGAAAATGAACTACACAATTTGTGGGCAGGGACGGCAGAGGGAAACTGGGGGAAAAGGAAGGAAGGGTTGATACTGTCCAAATATATACTGATTCATAAGAGTACCCCCTTCTGAACATTTTAATAATAATAAAATTATATTTAAAAGTAATAAAAAGCATTTAGATGAGGTTCCATTGCATGAGATGTGGGAAATGTTGGACTTAAGTGCATACCCACTAGGTAGTAGTAGATGTCTTTTTCTTAATTATTAAAGCTCACAAATGGTGTTTGTTCAAAAGTACAAGTATGTTTGACTTACATTAAAACTGTTTCTAACACTGTTCAAAAAAAAAAACCCTCTTCACAAAAAAAAAAAAAAAATTAAAAAAATAGCTGGATTGCACGAGGCTCCAATCTGTAATCTTAGATACTGAGGATGCTGAGATATGAGGATTGTGATTCAAAGCAAGCCCCAGGAAGGAAAGTCTGTGAGACTCTTATCTCCAACTAACCACACAAAAAACCAGAAATGGAGCTGTGGCTCAAGTGGTAAGAGCACTAGCATTGAGCACAAAAGGTCAACACCCAGGCACAAAACTTCAGGCCCAGGAATAGCATAATAATAATAATAATGTCATTTGCAGAGAAATGGATGGACCTAAAAGAGCTCATGTTAAGTGAAGTAAGTCAGGCTCTGAGAGACAAATCGGGACATTTTCTCTCATATGTAGAAGCTAGATCAGTAAAATACAAACATATGCCGGGAGCTAATGGCTCACACCCGTAATCCTAGCCACTGAGGGGCTGAGATCTAAGGACTGAACTTTGAAGCCTGCACAGGCAGAATGTCCATGAGACTCCTATCTCCAACTGATCACCAAAAGCTAGAAGTAGAGCTGTGGCTCAAGTGATAGAGTGCTAACCTTGAGCAAAAGAAATTCAGGAAGAGTGCCCAGGTGCTGAAGTCAAGCCTCATGACAAAAAATAAAATAAAATACAAATATACACAATAACATAAACAGAATGTTATGCACATACACACAAACTGCCTAAAGGATGGTATAAGGAAGAATCCCAATGGTGAGCAACTAATGAACTGTTCAGCAAAATGAACACAAGGAAGCAGAAGCATGTTTGGGCAGTGGGGAGGACACATGAATGGAGAGAGGAAAGATGAACAGTCATTATAAGCCGGGGGCTGGTGGCTCATGCCTGTAATCCTAGCTACTCAGGAGGCTGAGATCTGAAAATCAAGGTTCAAAGCTTGCCTGAGCAGGAAAGTCCGTGAGACTCTTATCTCCAATAAAAACCACTAGAAAACTGGAAGTGGCACTGTGGCTCAAGAGGCAGAGCGCTTGCCTTGAGCTGAAGTGTGCAAGGACAGCACCCAAGCCCAGAGTTCAAGCCCCATGACCAACAAAAAAAGTCATTATATTCTGTTCAAGAGGAAGTGTACTCATTACCTCACTCATGTAACTGTAACCCTCTGTATAGTATCTTTACAATAAAAAAAGTCATTATATTCAATGTACAGTATGTAAAAACAGAACTATGTAATTTAAAGATAGGGATGGGAGTGGGAAAACTACACAAAGAAATGTGGTCAAAACTCAGTATTAAAACAATAAAATATATTAAAATAATATAAGGAAGGACAAAAGAAACAGAAAACAGAAACCAAATAATAGAAATAATTATACATTCTACTAATGTAGAAACTACATCCAATCATAACAATAATTACATTAAATGTAAATTATCTACATAAACCAATTAAAAGATAGGTTGTTAGAATGAACAAGACCCAGTTATATACTATGAACAAGACCCAGTTACATACTATCTACAAGAAAACCACTTTAAATATAGTAATAGTATAGTATAGTAAAAATGAAAATAGCGAAAAGCTGGGTGCTGGTGGCTCACACTGAAAATCCTAGCTATTTAAAAGGCTGAGATCTGAGGATCCCAGTTGAACATCCAGCCAGACAAATCTGAAAGACTCTCATCTCCAATTAACCAGCAAAAAGGCGGAAGTTAGAGGTGTGGTTCAAGTGGTAGAGCACTTGCTAAAACAAAAAAGCTAAGAACAGCTGAGATCCCAGAGCACTTTACCCAGTTCCCCCTAGTGATGATACATTTTACAAAATACAATATTATACTCCGGATATTGGCACTGATCTCATGTGGATTCCAGCATCACTTGAGGGATATCATCTGATTCTCATGAGTTAGCCTGCTTTCCAGCAAAAAAAGCTAAAAAGCTAAGCAAGAGCTTGAGGCCCTGAATTCAAGCCCCATTACAAGCATACCAAAAAAAAAAAAAAAAGTGAAAACAAAATGTAGGAGTTGGAAACTGGAGGCGTGGCTCAGATGGTAGTGTGCTAGCCAAAGAATGAAAGCTCAGTTACTGAGTCTGAGTCCTGATCTTAGACCAAAAATTAATTAAATAAAATACAGGCCTATTCATAATCACCAAAAACTGAGAAAAATACAAAGCTTCAAGAATGAAACGATAAACTATGACAGCCATAAAATGAAATATTACTCGGCAATAAAAAGAATGACTGTACAAGCAAGCTGGATGAATCTCCAAGGCATTATGCTAAGCAAAATAAGCCCAATTTAAAGTTACTGCTGTACGATCACATAATATACTTGTAGAAATACTAGCCCAGCTAATAACAGTAAATATTAAGCCAGCTGTTGGGGACGGGAATGGGCCTCCTCATGAGGGAGCGTGGAGTGAGGGAAATGATGAAACCCTCTTTGTCACAGTAGTTATACAATTCTACATATGGCAAAGCTCATAGAACTGTATGCCAAAAGTCAATTTTTTAAGTAAAATAAACAAGATGTGGATGATTTCCATGGGTTCTTCTAAACTATGATTGTATAAATGAGAAAAACAAGAGGCAAGCAAAAAGTGTCAAGTTCTAATGGCAGAAAAGCTGCTACTCAAAAAAAAAAAAAAAAACTTCCTGATTACTACTGCACAAAACATTCCAAGGCAAACCCAATCTTCAGAAATGTATTCCCAGGAGAGGTTAAGAAAACTGGTCATTCAGATCCAAAATGTGTGTATTTGAAAATGCCTGTGAATGGCTCTTCTTGTCCGTTTCTATATTTTATACTTTCATGAAGCTGCCAATTTCTCCTGGCTGAGCGCCACTTCCCTTCCTTGAGGCCCTTCAGCTTACAAGTACCCCTCACTCTGACTTAGTGAAAGGGTGTCTGCCTTTGCAGGGAAGGTCTCTGCCAGATCATCAGTGTTCCTTGTTTGGGGGTGGGGGGAGAGGGAGGACACAGCACACGCCCTCCACTAGTTCCAGACCTTAGAACCCACCCAAGGCGCAGAGGTCTTCAGAAATCGGAAAGCCCCCTCACCGCCCAAGCCTCCCAAAGGAGGAACAGGTTGGGGGGCCGGACTCGAGGGTGGGGCGGGGAGGGAATCTCTCTTTTCTCAACCGTGACCCGGGTGCACTGGGCCCCCGGGTTGGGTGTGCGGGCTGCAGAGACGACCCCTCCCCGGTCCCCCGGAGTAAGGGGGGAAACCCAGGGACGGTGGTGTAAGGCGGCTACCCACGGCCCTCTGAGTCCCAAACTTTGTAGGGCCCCGGCGCCCACAGGGAAGCAGCCTCGCCCCTTACAAACGCCCAACCTCTTGGGGTTCACCGAAGCCCCGAGGGGGCTGGCACGCCCGTGCGCGCGCAGCCCCGAGGCCAGAAGGAAGCAGGACGCTCGGAATCCCGGCCCCTGCCCTGCCAGCAGGCCGCCGGGCCGCATTCCCGCCCGCCCCGCCCCGCCCCGCCCCGCAGCCGCCACCGCGGCCGCTCCGGCTTCCACCTGGGAGAGAGCGCGCCCCGGAGGGCCGTGAGGGGCCGGGTCGCAGGACGCCCACCTTGAGCTGAGACTTGGAGACCTTGCCGCTGCGGTCGAGGTCGAGCGCAGTGAAAGCGTGCCAGATGGCCTTCAGCAACTCATCCTTCAAGCTCCCCATGGCCGTGGCCAGGCTACCCACTACTGCCTCCACCACCCGCTAAGGCCGGGTCCGCTCCGACGATCCCTCCGCGCCTCAGCGGCTCCGGGACCGACGGCGCTGGCCACGCGCGTCACCTGACCGGGGAAGCCCCGCCCTTCGCCCCGCCCAACCCCAGAGTCCCCGCCCACCAGGTCGGTCACCAGCCTTCTACCTCGCCTAGGCCTGTGAACACTTCCCAGTTCTCTAGTTGGTTCCCATATTCAGGCTATTTTCAGGGCTCGCATATACCCCCCAAACAAATGCCCCCCCATCCCAAGGAAGAACGCCAAGAGGCTGTAGGGAGCCCCAGCAGTGAAAAAGGAAGTCCTGGTCCTGCCCAGGGATGAAGTCATTGTTTTTAGGAAGCCACACAAAATTCCGCAGTGTCCCAGGACAGAGCCTCAAAAGCTAGCTCAGGCCCCAGTTGGGGAAATAAGCACCTCTCAGGGAAGTCAGTTTGCTCATTCCGCAAATGTGCAGGAATGCTTTCTGCAGTGGGCTCTGCAAGCAAGCGCACGGACGGGCTTTAAGGTGGGTTAGGTAGAGTCAGACAGACTGTTCTTTGTAACCCCCGGCCCCAGAAGAAGCAAGGGTTTGCTAGTGTTTCCAAACATGTGGTTGAAAATCTGGGAGGACCCCAGAAAACCACCCCACCCTCTTTCCTAATCAGAATGGGTGGGTCACTTCAAAGAATTTAGCCCAGATTGAGGAAACTATCCTCCCAATTATAGCTGTTCTATTCATATCTGTTAGCAATGGTCACTAGAGCTCTTCCAGCTTCAAATTCTCCACACATAAAATGAATGTGGTTGTACCAGATGTTCCAGAAGGTGCTTTCCTTGATAATTATCTATTCCTGAAGTAATAAATCTTCTGGGTGACTCTGATCCCATTAAGCACAATGCGTCTCCTCTACAATCGTAGGCCAAATCTAGACAATGTGAAGAGAAGAATAAATGCCAAGTTTTCAAAAGGAGAGATTCCCAGATAAAGCATGGTTTCGTTTGCCTTTTCGGTTTGCTTTATGACCCTATTATGGTAGAATCCCAGCACTAGGGAGGAAGCACAAAGGCATGAAGATCAGGAGTTGGAGGAAAGCCAGATGCTGGTGGTTCACGTCTGTATTCCTAGCTATTCAGGAGCCTAAAATCTGAGGATTGAGGTTCAAAGTCAGGCAGGGCAGAAAAGTCCATGAGTCTTTCTTATCCTTCAGGTAGCCCCCCAAAATCTAGAAGAGGTAGAGTTGCAGCCTTGAGAGAAAAAAACTAACCTAAACTAAAGGACTGCACCCAGGCCCTTAGTTCAAACCCCAGTACCAGTGCAAAAATAAGAAACAAAATATAGCTGGGTGCCAGTGGCTCATGCTTGTAATCCTAGTTACTTAGGTTGAAATCTGAGGATAACGGTTCAAAGCCAGCCTGGGCAGGAAAGTCCATGAGACTCTTATCTCCAATAAACCACCAGAAAACCAGAAGTGGCGCTGTGGCTCAAGTGGTAGAGTGCTAGCCTTGAACTGAAGAGCTGAGGGACAGTGCCCAGGCCTAAAGTTCAAGCCCCACAACGACCAAAAATAAATAAATAAACAAAATAAAGTTCCTTTATCATAAGTGCATTCGTAGATAGATAGATAGATAAATCGATAGATAATTTGAAGCTGTGGGTGTGGCTCAAGTGGTAGAGCAATTGCTTGACAAGTGCAAGGACTTGAGCTCGAACTTTAGTACAGCCAAAAGAGACAGAAAAAAATATATAAAAGAATGAGGGATATGGAAAGAACAGAAAAAGAAGGAGCTGCATTCATGTGTCTGAGATAAAAGGAAATATGATGGGCTAGGGAAAAAGATGGCCCCCTAGAAAGAAAGTAGAAACAAAGGAATGTTACCCCTCACTGTGGTAGCGGGACTTAACACAACATTTCATCACTGCTAGTCCCAACTTTCCTGGTTTCTTTTCTTTTTCTTAGGTCTGAGGCCAGGACACAAACTCAGTACCTGCCACTTTTGCCCATTGGCTAGCACTCTACCAACTGAGCCATGCCACCAAACCACCTTTTCTAGTTTCTATTGTTTATCTTCCTCTATGCCAGCCCATCTCCTAGCCAGCAAAAACACACTGTTTAACCTTTAAATCCTTTAAACCAACTCAGCTTACCCAGGTAGTAGCAAAGAAATAAATCTTCCTAATTCCTTTCTTTCTTTCTTTCTTTCTGTCAGTCAGTCATGGGGCTTGAACTCAAGAACTGGGCACTGTACATGAACTCCTTTGCTCGAGACTAGGGCTCTAGCACGTGAGTGACAACTCTACTTCCAGTTTTCTGGTGATAAAGTGGAGATAAGAGTCTCATCAGGGAGCTGGGAAAGTGGCTCAATGGTAGAGCACTTGCCTTGCATGCATGAGACCCTGGGTTCCATTCCTCAGCACCACATAAGCAGAAAATTCTGGAAGTGGCGCTGTGGCTCAAGTGGTAGAGTGCTAGCCTAGAGCTGAAGAGCTGAAGGACAGTGCCCAGGCCCAGATTCAAGCCCATGACCAACAAAAAAATAAAATAAGAGTCTTGTAGGGGTGCCAGTGGCTCACACCAACTACTCAGGAGGCTGAGATCTGAGGATCACAGTTCAAAGATAGCCCAGGCAGGAAAGTCCTTGAAACTCTTATCTCCCATAAAATCGAAGTGGCACTGTGATAGAGCACTAGCCTTGAGCTGAAGAGCTGAGGGACAGCACCCAGGCCCAGAGTTCCAACCCCGTAACAGACCAAAAAAAAAAAAAAAAGGTGGTATCATTTCTCCTGGGGATGTTAATGGAGGGTCTCAGCTCCTCTGCACATCAACCTACCCACAGGATGCTTGAATACCTTTAGCATGTAGCAACTGATTTTCCCCAGAGAAAAATGATCTATGAACAATTGTGAGCTACAGTGTCTCTTCTTATTTTTACTTATTTGGCAGTTGTCTATTGCATCCTAAGCAAACACCCTACCAACTGAGCTACATGCCCAGCCCTAATCCCTACTGTCTCCCAGCAAAAGCATCTTACAGCAGGAAATAACCTAATAATAGAGATTAAATTCAGTACATTTCAAGTAAACTATTCACTTTGGGTAAAAGTAATGTTGGGATTTTTCTCAGTTCACAGAACAGCTATAAGGTAGAGAGAGGGGTATGTGTCATAAGTACTCCCAATTAGACACAAAGGCTTCAAAATTTTTAAGAGTATTATCTCAGAAGAGTTTAATTTTAAGTCCAAGGAAGAGAAAGAATTATCTTTAAAAGATTTTAAAGAGCCAGCATCAGTGAATAATACCTGTAATTCTAGCTACTTGGGAAGCAGATAAATGGAGGAGTGAAGCTTGAGAACAATTCAGGCAGATAGATTAGCCAGACCTCTTTTCAGCCCATGGCTGGATTCAGTGGTGCACACCTGTCATCCCAGGCTACATAGGAACCTGATCAGTGCCCTACCAGCCAGGCTGGGGCAGACTCTGTGTCCATGGAAGGAAAAGTGAATGAGGTAGCTTGAGCCTGTGATCTCAAGTATGATGGGAAGCTGAAAGTAGGAAGATCAAGGCTGAGGCGCACAACTAGGTGGAAAGGGAGAACTTATCCTAAAAATAACCAGTACAAAAACAGGGCTGAGGATGTTGCTCTAGCCAAGTTCAAGTCCTGAGTTCAAATCCCACAAGAGAAGGGGAAGACTTTATGGATGTGGTTTTTGTTTAATGGAGTGAACCTCAATGCTCTTAACAGAAAACCCAGGGTATTTTATTTTGGGGGGCCTGGGCTCTGTCCCTCAGCTCTTTAGCTCAAGGCTAGCTCTCTACCACTTAAGCCACAGCACCACTTCTTGTTTTCTGGTGGTTTATTAGAGATAAGAGTCTCATGGACTTTCCTGCCCGGGCTGGCTTTGAACCATGATCCTCAAATCTCAGCCTCCTGAGTAGCTAATATTATAGGCATGAGCCACTAGCACCCAGTTTCCCGGATATTTTTAAAAGACTTGTATTGGTAGAAGCATCACCAACTTGGACTGTAGAGAATAGAGATGGTTCAAAGTAAAAAGAGGCCTCTGGGAATCCATTGTTATTGCAGAAGAAACAGGCAGAGAAAGCAACTCATTTGGGAGCACTTGCAGTTCCTTCGGGGGGGGGGGGGACAAATTGTAGAAACAAGAACCCAAAAGAAACAACCAAGAATTGTAAAGAAACATTATTTAGAGTAGGACTGGGCCTATGTGAAAGAACTGGAAATATGTTCCTAAATAGAAACTAGATTTCTTTTCTTCTCTTTTCTTTTTTTTCTCTTGTTGGTGCTGCTCCTGTGGCTTGAACTCAGGGCCTGGGTACTGCCCCTGCGATTTTTTCTTCAAGGTTAGCACTGTATTACTTGAATCACAGCTCCATTTTCAGTTTTTTGGTGGTTAATTGGAGATAAGAGGCTCACAGACTTTCCTGCCCAGGCTGACTTTGAACCACATTCCCCGGACCTCAGCCTCCTTAGTCACTAGGATTGAGTGTGAGCCACTGGAGCCTGGTGGATCTCATTATTTCTATAGACTAATGTTTAGTATGAGCCTCACATCTTTCTTTCCTTCCTCTATTTCAGTGTAGCTATAGTGTTCCTATGTCATCACTACATGTTGGACAGTATGCAAAAAAAAAAAAAAAAATTAAGCCAGGTGCCTGAAGCTCACACCTGTAATCCTAGCTACTCAGGAGGCTAAGAGATGAGGATTTCCAGCCCAGGGAAGGAAAGTTTGTGAGACTCTTATTTCTAATTAGCCACCAAAAAGCTGTAAGTGGAGCTGTGGCTCAAGTGGTAGAGTGCCAGTCTTGAGTGAAAGGCTAAAGGACAGTGCCAGGGCTCTGAGTTCAAGCCTCAGTACCGGCACAAAAAAAAATAAAAGAGTTAAATAACTTTTCATTTGTCAGTCATGGGGCTTGAACTCTGGGTCTTGGTGGTATCCTTGAGCTTTTTCACTCAAGGCTAGTGCTATACCACTTCCAGCCATAGCACCACTTCTGGTTTTCTGGTGGTTAACTGGAGATAAGAACCTCACGTACTGTTCTGCCC